GTATGATTTTGTGCACTTTTGGCCTAGTCAAACTTTGGTTATTAAAAGCTAGATTTATTTTGAGATATGATCTTAGTTAGTGGATTGTCATACATGAATTAAGTAGGTTCTAAGCCTTGTACATTTGTGGGATCCTTTCATAAGTGTACAGCGTTTGTTTTGCTCTCGATTTTGGGGTGTGACAGAAGCTAGGATGGGAAACCTTGGACCATGGACTTTCCACCACTTAAGAATGTCAAACTCCTCATCCAATGGCTCTATTTCATCATTCAAGTACCTCTCCAACTCTATCTTTTTAGCATTGCATTCAACTCTTTCTTTATACCTTGAATATTCATTCATTAGATATGTCCTCTTTTTAGTTGGTTCAGACTCCTTCATTGCATTGTGACCTACATTCTAAATTGATTGCTAGGTAGAATATTGGTCTTTGTTATGGAAAAAAAAAAAAAGAACTATTAGTTAATTCATATAATTAAAATTTATAATATTCTAAACTTTTAATTATAAAGAGCAACATAAAAGAACATCCCTTTAAACTAAAACTAATGTGCTAACCTTTCTAGTACATTATTGGAATAGTGCTAGCTCTTGTATGCTTCAAACAACTTGAAGCATTCAACTCTCACCATCTTCCCATAAGCTTTGCCCTTAACCTCACCAAACATCCTTACCATAAAAAATTGCATAAAGCCAAGCTTGTACCTTGGGTCCAAAACTATAGTAATGAAGATGTTCTTATTCATCTTCAAAGGATCACCCTAGTACTTGTCATACTTATCCTTCATTTTTGTAACCATTTGCTTCAAATCAACATCATTTTCCCACAATTTAAGAAGCCTATCCACTTCACAAAATTTTGGAAAGTATACAGATTTCTAGAAACTTTTTTTTGTCAAGAATTAAATGGTTCCAAAAATGTCACAAGCCTCCTTATGTTTTCCCAATCAATACAAGATAGGAAACTTGGACCAAAATTCAATTCAATCCTCATGGCTAGATCATACCTTCAATACCTTCAAAATTGTACGACAAAGAATTATTAGAATGGTGGCAATAAATGAAAATATAAGACAAAAACTAAATTATCAAAAACTACCCAATAAGGTGCACCTTAGGGCCTAAATAAGGAATGGGCCAATACTTGTCATTCTTAAACTCAATTACTATTACCTCAATCCCACATCATTTCATATATAAAATATTCTTGGCCCAATAAAATTTTGCTCCATGAAGTCTATAATTTGTCACATTTTGGTATAGAAAAGAAGGTAATTTATACATTTTGCAAGTACCTTATTGCACTTTCTTTGTAATTAATTTTTTTTTATTATTCAACAAAATTAATTTTTATTAACATGTGTCATAAGTCAGTTTTTTTCGTTGCTTTTCCTTTAATATTTTGCCAAACAATATTTTCTCTATCATGTGCACCATGTAATTTCCATAAATTGATCGATTAGGTATAATTAATTACCAAGCAGCATTTTCCCAAGCCTTAACCCCTAAACTTAAATTACATGGGTGCATAGCACACAAGAGCAACAATTATTCTCTTTCACATCCTCCATATTTCTATAAATTGATCGATTAGGTTAATTAATTACCAAGCAGCATTTTCCCAAGCCCTAACCCCTAGACTTAAAGTACATGGCTGTATAGCACCCAAGAGTACCAATGCAGGAGTTCAACAAGAAAATCCATAATTTACAAATATGCAGAAATTAACAAGAAAATTCATAATTTACAAACCAACTTCAAATTTTCAGAACAAACAAGTAAACTCTATGCAGGTATGCTTAACTCAATAAAAATAATAACAACTTCACTTTAGCCAATCATGCTCGTGTTTGACTAAAACAGGTTTAGTCTCGCCACCACTTCAAAAATAGTTTAAAAATATGCTTTTAAAACCTTTACCTTAAAATCCAAGAACATTTACCATAATTTTACTTATGGAGTTATCTCATATAGTTTTTCCTCATCCTCGTCCACCATTTTAGGTAGTGAGACCAGAGACGGGGGAAACCAAGGGGAGTGACGGGCTAGAAAGTGAGCCACATATATTTTGTACTTAGTTCATTTTGGAGATAGACCTGCTAGACTAATCATGTTGGACATAGATTTTTGAGATATAGATCATTCCTTTGTAGGCTAAATTTCCTTGGAGATAGTTATGATTTTATTAATGGAGTTGTATAATTTTTGTGCACTCTTGGCCTAGCAAAGGTTGGATTATAAAAGCTTGATTTTTTATTAAGATTGTGGATATTAGTTTGGTGGATTGCCAAATATGAATTATAGCTTATAAATTAAATAGGTTCTGAGCTTTGTGCATTTGTGGGAGTCTCTCGTAAGTGTACGATGTTTGTTTCGCTCTCAATTTTGGGGCGTGACAATCTCTCATCTTAGAAACTAGCTTCCCATGTGTGGAATCAAAGATAAAGGCCTTATTATACCACTCAACTTTGGTGAGAAGAATCAGACAAATACCAACATCTTATCTACCAATGTCTATTTTGTATCTTATGTTAGAATCTTTAAGGATCGACATACATAAGATTTAGGATATTAAGATCTAATAAAATAAATAAATTGCGTAACTAAATCTTTATAATCAATATATTACCTAAGAATCTTCAAAGATCTTCAAAAATCATCATAATTAGGGATCTTATGAAAAGCCATGCAAAAACAAATATGGTTAATATTGGGATTTAGGTCTTCCTCTCCCTATTTAACTTCTGTATAGTAACAACCAATGGGTCATGTCACTCCCCAACTCTACTATTTATAGAGTTAGTGTCATGCCCCAAAACCAGGAGCATAACAGACGCCATGCACTCATGAATGGGTCCCACAAATGCACAAGGCTCAGAACTTATTGTGTTCATAATTGCCAATTTACATATCTTAAATCTCAAAAATTCGGTTAATATTTAGCTTTCAATTACCAAAAATTTACCAGTCAAGATGTACAAAAGTTTATAAAACAGTCATGGTTATAACTAAGGAAAATTCAATATACAAAAAAAAAATGATTTATCATTTTTCACATTCGTGTCAAGCATGTGTGGCTAATGATCTAAGCCCAAAAGGATCTAAGTCCAAAATACTGACTAGCCATCTAACTTGTCACTCCCCCTAGTTAATTGTGCCTCGGGTCTCACTTCCTGAAATGGTTGACGAGGAAAACTATGAGATAAGATATCTTAGTAAGTAAAAATATGGGTAGCATGTAAGTAAAATTTTAGTATGCCTGATAAACAATTAACATAACAAAATGTTCAATGATAAACCGTTAATGTAGAATAAAATTCAATAGTAGTCTTATCTATAAGTCAATAACAAAGCGTTCAATGATAAACCGTTAATGTAGAATAAAATTCAATAGTAGTCTCGTCTATAAGTCATGGCCAGTGTTTAACAACTCCCACTGGCAGGCATCAGTTTCAGTAATAATCAATGTATTATCCCATTGGCAGGATTACAGAATGAACCGGTCCTATCGGTAAACATGTCGACATGTGCTAGCGTTTCAAACTCCCACTAGCAGGCGTCAGTAATCAGTAATCATGACTATATTAGAGACAAAACCATGAAGGATTTACAGGAAAAATCCGTAATTCACAATCAATCTCAAATTTCAAGAATAAACTAGAAAAATTCCATGTGGGCATGGATTTAACAGGAAAATCATAATTTACACATAATTTACAAATAATTTCCAGATCATCAGAGTAGTTAAGTAAACTCCAAGTAGGCATGCTCTACTCAATGAAAATGAAAATAATTCCATTTCAAACCAATTATGCTCAGTGCTAATAAAATCAATTTAAACTTTGCCACCATCTCAAAAACAATTTAAAATATACTTTTACTTTAAAATCGAAGGGCGTTACCATAATGTACTTACCTCAGTCACATAACACAGAAAACTCACGCCAAGTGCTAGGGTGATAAAACAATCAAGAACCTAACCAAAATATTTCAAAATTAATAACCATATGACCGGACATCTCAATTTTATTCTCAATATAAACTAAACATTTAAACCTTCCTATTGTTGCCAGCTATTAATCCCATAAGAAATCTCATTTCTTTATTTATTTATTTATTCTTATTTTTTCTTCTATCCAAAATCTGAGCACAAAAATCAGATTGTGCATTTATATATATGTACATAACACACATATACAAATTCTCCAATTCACGGACAACAACATGGAGGAACCGACTTTGACAATCAATGGCTAATTCACAGGATTTTTCTCAAGAACCTCACAGCAGCCAATTAACACCCAATCATATAAATTCTACATGATTTAAGCTTAATTTTGTCCTAATTGCTACTGGAATTCATCCCCTTAATTCAACAAAATTCGGACAGCACAAAGGTAGTAATTAACTGGACTAAATTCAGCAACTAATGGGTAATTGGGACTTAGAGGGAGCTGTCACTTTCCAGAAAATTCAGCAAGCAAACTAGAGCTGCAGGTTTGGGAAGTCGGCGGGAATTGGGGGGAAAATTTTGGGATCTACCAAAAATTGAAGAAACCAAAAGAAATTAGAGTAAACCCAAGCCAAATCAAGGGAGAAAAGAGGAATTAGTGGCTGTTTCCCTTACCAGAAACCAGAGAAAATCACACCCACAGAGCAGAGTAGTGGACGGAGAGGAAAGAAACAGAGTAGATCCGAAATTTTTCTGCAGGGGGGGAAGATTCCAACTTCTAAATCTTGTTTTTGAACAAGAAAAGAAGGAAAAGAATTAAGCTTTTTGTAAAGACAGGTCCGAGGTGCCAAGCCTCGGACTAATACAGTAATTCCTTTATGACCGAAGTGAAGGATAAATCCAAAACTTCCCGCTCAAATAGCTGCATGACAGTGACAATGAGCATGCTCGCACCTGATCCCTTATGATGAGCTGTACAACAATTAAGGTGGACATCCTTGCACCTGAATACTTCTCAAATTGCCAGTCCCGAAATAATCGTCTGGATAGACACGTCAGGCTCCGATTATCTTGCTTGGCATGCCACGTGGGCTCCTCATTGGATCCTATAAATACCCCTCCAAGCCACGTCAAAAGGTAATTGAAACCAACCCTAAGCTCTTTTTATCTTCGCTCTAAAGGTAGCCCCGATTATTACTGACTTAAGCATCGGAGTGTCTACCCTGAGTTTCACCTCGGGGCTTTGCAGGTCATCCCGGAGAGCAGACGCGGATTAAAGAACTTCTGGTTTGGTGCAATTACATTGGCGCTGTCTGTGGGAATCCGAACTGAAAGCTTTCTAGTTGCTCTTTCATCATGGTTCACACTTGATCCGTCCGAGCTGGTAATTCATCTCTGCCTCAAGGGCAAGGTCAACCCCACAATAACCTTCCACCCTTGATCCCATCTCAACTCCCACCTCAACTTACACCTCAGCTTCCACCTCAGGTCCCCACTATGTTCCCTCTTGTTGATCATGTAGAAGGAGGAGATGAAAACCAACCTCATACCTCAGCTCACAATTCAACTTCCACTGCCAACCAAGACGTAGTAGCAGCTCAGCTTGCTACCATGCAACAACAGTTCGATGTTTTTCAGTTGGTATTGTCTCAACTTTTAACTAGAAACAATCCTGGTGATCCCCTTATTAATTTACTGAACCCTGCTCAACAACCCCTAGCTCCACAACAGAATCCCCAACTAGTTCAGCATGCTCCCGCTATTAGTGAATCTCAGGGTCAATCCCACACAGCACCTGCTCAACAACCCCTCCCTGATGATGTCACTTGACGCCTCGATAGCTTAGAAAAGTTAGTAGTTGAACACCGAGGTGCTCCACCCCCACACCATGCTACTGACTGCATACCTCATCCCCTGAACACCAACATTACATTGGAACCCTATCCTGCTGGCTTCAAAATACCACAACTGGAGACTTACGACGAGACAAAGGATCCTGATGATCATATGCATGCTTTCTACTCTTGCATGCAAGCTCAGAACGCCTCTGACGCGTTGATGTGCAAAATCTTCCCCTCTACTCTCCGAGGTAATGCCCGAACTTGGTATTACAGTTTACCTCCAAGGTCAATTAGCTCTTATACAGAAATGGCATTTACCTTTGCCACTAAGTTTTCCAGTAGAAGGTTGATTAGGAAAACTACTTCTGAGCTGATGCGAGTTAAACAGAGGGATGGAGAATCTCTGAAAAACTATATGAGCAGGTTCAATGATGCAGTATTGGAGGTCAGCTCCTTTGATCAAGCTGTGGGAATTGCAACTGTGATCTCCGGTCTTAAACATGACAGGTTCAAAGACAATTTGATCAAACATGCTGCCACCACCTTTAGCGAGGTGAACAATAGGTCTCTGAAATTTATAATCGCTGAAGAGTATACCCTGGCGCAGAATCCGATTCCTTCTAAGAACCAGAACCCAGAATGGAGAGATGACAATTTGAGTCGAAAAAGGATGAGGATGGCGCAGAACCGAGGTCCGATACCAACCTTCGCACCAAGATTTGGAAGGCCGAACTCAACATCCCCGCAACAATCTGCAGGTAAACCTCCAGTTAATTGGACTCCCTTTAATCTGCCAAGGTCACAAATTTTTATGCAGATCAAGAGTAAAATGGATTTAAGGCGTCCTGGCCCAATGAAAACTACTGCTGCTAGCCGAGACCATACCAGATATTGTGATTTTCACCAGGATCACGGCCATACTACAGAGCAGTGTAACAGCTTAAAGTCCGAACTGGAAAGCCTAGCCCAGAAGGGAATGCTGAATGAATATATTCAGAGAGCTGCACAGCCACGATTTGTCAAATAACAAGGGCCACAGCCTCAAGGAAGCCGTAACCCACCAAATAGGCAAGGTGTGGGATATCAGCAAAACTCACCTCCGCTCCCACCACCAGCTAGAATCATACACATGATCACAGGAGGTTTGGAAGCAGGTGGACTGAGCTCTAAACAGCGAAAGCTGTATGTCAGGGAAGTTAAGCATCAGAACCGAGCTCAGAAACGGAAGTTTGACGATGTTGAGTGGAAGAATCAACCCATTACTTTCACATCTGTTGATCTTGATACAGTTGTTACACCCCACAATGATCCCCTGGTCACTTCTGTCATGATTAACAACTGTGAAGTACAGCGTGTCCTTGTCGACACTAGGAGTGCACCAGATATCATGTATTTCCACTGTTTCGAGAGTCTTGGGCTGGATCCAGCATTGTTGCAGAAATACGATGGTCCCATCTATGGTTTTAACAACCAACTTGTTCCCGTAGAAGGAGTTCTTACCATCCATGTGGCTTTTGGTAGTGGCCGGACCTACGTAACCCCTTTAGTCTGGTTCCTCGTCGTCAAGATGGCGTCCTCTTTCAACATTGTTATTGGCCGACCCACATTGATAGAAATCCGAGCTGTGGTTTCCCAATCTCACCTCTGCATGAAGTTCCCAACTCCTACGGGAATAGCAACACTGTGAGGAAACCAGGAGGTGGCCAAACATTGTTATATCACCTCTGTAACACAACCAACGAAGGGCAAAGATCAGACACCCGAGGCCATTCCCCACCAAATTCCTGATAATCAACAAGTTATAGGTGTAGAGATCGTAGATAATCGACCGGAAGATGAAACCAGGGCTACTCTGGTCAAAGATGTTGAAGAAGTGCTCATTGGTGACAGAGATCCGAGCCGAAAGACACAGATTGGAACTAGATTGAACTCAGAGGAAAGAGCAGAGCTAATAGCTTTTCTCCGAGCTAACAATGATGTATTCACATGGACTTCGGCAGATATGCCAGGAATTCCAAATTCAGTATCTCAACACAAGCTCAGCACCAATCCATTGAAGAAACCAGTGGCCTAGAAGCGACGTCTCTTTCGGGGGGAGAGGCTTCAGGCTATTAAAGAAGAGGTAGAGAAACTTCTACAAGCTGGTTTCGTCAGGAAAGTTGATTATTGCGAATGGGTGGCTAACCCAGTCCTGGTGAAGAAGGCAAACGGTAAATGGCGAATGTGCATTGATTACACAAATCTTAACCAAGCCTGCCCCAAGGATTGCTATCCGATGCCGAGCATTGACAAATTAGTTGAAGCAACTTCAGGGAATGAGAGGTTAAGCCTCTTGGATGCATATTCTGGGTATCACCAGGTGCCGATGGCTCCTGAAGATGAAGAGAAAACCTTGTTCTATGCTGGTGATGAAATCTATTGCTATGTCATGATGCCGTTTGGCTTAAAGAACGCTGGTGCTACTTATCAGAAAATGGTAACCATTGTCTTCCGAGCTCAGATCGGCAAGAATCTGGAGGTGTATGTTGATGACATCGTGGTAAAGAGCCTGAAAGTAGAAAACCATCTAGCTTACCTCGACGAAACCTTCAACAACCTCAGAAAGAACAAGATGCGGTTAAACCCAGCCAAATGCATCTTCAGAGTGGAGTCGGGAGAGTTTCTAGGTTTCATGGTGTCCCGAAGAGGGATTGAGGTCAATCCAGAGAAGATTAGAGCAATTGTCGAGATGGAATCGCTGAAATCAGTAAAAGACATACAGAGGTTGACTGGAAGGGTGGCAGCTCTTCATCGATTTATATCGAAGTCAGCGGATAAGTGTCTGCCATTCTTCAAAATTATGAGGTCAGCCGCCCAGAAGGATGAATCAGGAAAACAGAAGAAATTTGAATGGAGTCAGGAATGCCAAACTGCATTCGACGAACTAAAGTCTTACCTTAGCTCACCACCTCTACTGATTAAGGCTATAAATGGAGAGATTCTTTATTTGTATCTAGGAATTTCAGATGAAGCCATTAGTTTGGTTCTGGTGCGAGAAGAAACCAAGCAGCAGAAACCAATCTATTATATTAGCAGTGTACTACACGAAGCATAGTTAAGGTATCCTATAGCTGAAAAAGCAGCATTAGCAGTTGTGACTTCGGCTAGGAAGTTGAGGCCATATTTCCAGTCACACCCAATTATCGTTCTCATAGATCAACCTCTTAGGCAGATTCTGCAGAAACCAGAGTGCTCTGGAAGATTAATTAAGTGGGCAGTAGAACTAGGGGAGTTTGAGATAACGTTTCAGTAGAGATCGGCCATCCGAGCTCAAGCATTAGTAGATTTTATTGTCGAATGCACTCCATGTCCCTCAACCTCTAATCCAGAGCCCAACGATTGGACCTTATATGTTGACGGGGCATCTAGTAGCAAGGGTTCAGGAGCTGGCGCTCTCTTGATTGGTCCAGAGGGTTATCGAAGTGAGCATGCTTTGAAATTCAACTTTGACGCAACAAATAACATGGCTGAATATGAAGCTCTGCTACTTGGTCTACAGCTAGCATTGGAGTTGAAATTTAGTGCAATTCAAGTATACAGTGACTCCTAGTTGGTGGTGAACCAAATCAACTCAATTTGTGAAATTGTTGATCCTATGATGGTGAAATATGCAGCCTTGGTGGCCGAGCTGAAATGCAAATTCCAGAAATTCTGTCTGAGTAAAATCCCCCGAGCTGAGAACGAACAAGCAGATTCACTATCCAAGTTTGCCTCTGATAGCTCTTTAAGTTCCAGATCCATTTTTGTAGAAGTCTTAGATGAACCAAGCTTCATGAAGCCTTGGATGATGGAGATTAGCACAAACCTTGATACGCCGAGCTAGACTGATTCAATCGTCTCCTTTTTGCGCAATGGGATAGTACCTGAGGACAGGCAAGAGGCAATGAAATTGAGGAAGAAAGCATCTTGGTATACACTCGTTGATGAGGTCCTGTATAAGAGATCTTTCTCACTTCCTCTTCTACAGTGTTTAAACCCTTACGAAGCTGTGTATGCACTTCGGGAAGTACATGAAGGTGTCTGCGGGAGCCACGTTGGTGCTAGAACTCTAGCTCACAAAGTCTTAAGGCAGGGATATTACTGGCCAAACATGTATAAAGATGCCACTCACTTTGTTCAAAAATGCCTAAAATGTCAATTCTTCGCACATTTGACTCATCAACCAGCAGAAGAGCTCACGAACTTGGTAGCACCATAGCCATTTGCTCAGTGGGGACTAGATCTTTTAGGCCCATTCGTGAAAGGAGTTGGTGGTGTGACCCATCTGGTTGTTGGTGTGGATTATTTCACAAAATGGGTTGAAGCTCGGCCATTATCTAGTCTTACCTCCAAAAAGGTCGTAGACTTTGTTTTCAGCTCAATCATCTACAGATATGAGATCCTGAATCAGATTGTGGCTGATAATGGAACTCAATTCAATTGTTCCTCGTTCCGAGATTTCTGTTCCAGTTATGGGATCAAGTTACAGTTCACCTCTATTTATCATCCAGAGTCCAATGGCATTGTTGAATCTGTTAACAAATGCATTTTAGAAGGTATAAAACCGAGATTGGAACAGCATAAGGCCAAATGGGCAGACGAGCTCAACAACGTCCTTTGGGCATACAGAACCATGAGCCGAACTGCCACAGGTATTACTTTAAACCAAGTCTATTTGATTAATTTCCATATTATTTTACTTCTTCTGTTACGCTTTACCTTAGAGCAAATATGCATAATGCATAAAGTGCATTCTAAAGTCATAATTAACTGAAATAGGTGAAACACCCTATCATCTCGCATTCAGTACCGAAGCAGTCATTCCTATTGAAATAGGAGTCCCAAGCTTCCAGGTCACCCATTTCGATGAAGGACGAAATGGACAACTGCTTCGGGAAAACCTTGATCTGCTTGCTGAAGTCAGAGAAGAAGCTCCGCTTTGGACTCTTGTATATAAGCAGAAACTAGCCAACTTCTATAATAAACGAGTTCGCCCTCGAACATTCACAGTAGGAGACCTTGTTCTCAGAAAAGCTGGCCTAACAGGTTTTGAAACTCGTTTTGGCAAACTCGCCCCAAATTGGGAAGGCACTTATACCGTGGCCGAGGTGCCACATCCTGGTGCCTATGTCCTCCAAGACGCTGAAGGAAAAAGAGTTCCTAGAGTCTGGAATGTCAATAACTTGAATAAATTTTACCCCAAATGAAATTCTTTCAAGTGATCTATGTCTTATTGTTCTTTATGCTTCTCACTTCGTGTTTGTTGAGGTCAATCAATTCATTTATTCTTTGAACCTCACTTCTATTAATAAATTTCATTTCACATATGAAGTGCTTATTCTTAATTTATATGAAGTGCTTTACTTCTTCTTAATTCGTCTGAAGTGGATTACTTCCCTCCTGTTCATTCCTACAGTAGTTAGCTTTCTTTCAAATCAAGTTTCAAGTACTCTCAGTTCTTTTATTCGTAAAAGATAACAAAAATATAAAGCAAACATAAACAAATATATAATTTCAAAAACTGAATTTTCATTTAACAAAATAATAGTGTTACAAATTGTTTAAATGTTTTTACAAAAAATTAAAAAACAAAATTATTTCTCTGCTAAAAGAGGTGGCCCCACTGGCTCCTGCTCAGCTGGGGGAGGTGGCTATGTTGGCTGCTGCTCGTCTGGCAGAGGAGGCTGCTCATCTTCAGAAGGAACTGGATGAATCTCCACTTCTGGGACTGGTTGGCTCTCATCCACTTCAGTTCCCTCCACTCCTGCCTCCACCTCGTCTTCCTCTACCTCTGCCCCTTCTTCCTCCACTACAACGAACTCGAAGTCGAATTGTGGAGGGAAAACAGCACGTCCGTTTGCATCATGCTCCCACCTCAGTTTGATCTGAGGACGGAAGTCTGCTGACATGCTCTCACCGTCTTCCTCCACTCCTTCTTCTTGCTCTTCGAAGGTGATCTTCGTAATATCCACTTCAGGATATTCTGCCTTACCTTCTTCTTGCAGTCTGTGAATGCAATGATGGCAGTAGGCAGCCGGTACAAGTTGACGATGTTGTCAAACGAGCTGGAGCTGATGAAGTTGTTGATGTGCTCCTTCATCCCATTGTGCACCAAGGTCTGCACATTCTCCTTCAGCTCCACGAAAGCCTCCTTCATCAGCTTTATTTCTTGCGCCTGAGCCTCACGCTCGCTTTTAGAGATCCTTCGTTTACTCTCCTCAAAGACGAGCTTGGTGCTCAGGGAAGCCCTCTCTTGTTCCAACTGCTTCACAGTTGGAACCACCTCATTTAGCGACTCTTGTAGTTCTTTATTTTTCTTCTCTAGCTCCTCCTTCTCCTTCTACAGCTGGTCACACTGCCTCTGCAAGAGTGAGCGCTCCCTCATGCTATCCATGAACTCTTGGGCTAGACCATTCACCCAGCTCGCGCTCTGCAAATCAAAGCAGAAGTTAAGAGAAAAAGAAAAGAAGAAGAAACAGATTAAATAAACAACACTAATAATGTAACATACCTTTAGAACGTGCTTCACAACAGACGCTCCACCGTACCTCAGAGCTTCATCCCGTGCGTTGCGTTTGTCCACTTCGGGGAAGGTTCTGTTGATGAACCACCTAGCCCCCGTGGAAGGTTCTGTTGATGAACCACCTAGCCCCCGTCATGTTCTTCACCTCGAATAGGCTGCTCTGGGATGCCATTGGGGGAACAGGGCCTTTCCCCTTACCGGGAGCTCGTACCTCAACCCCCTCCTCCAACTGTCTGAGCTCAGGATCTAGCTTAATAGGAGGAGGCTGAGGTACGAACTGAGGAACCTCATTCCCCCTCCCTTCCTCCTCCACCACTTTCTTCTTCTTCAGCAGTGCTCTCCTCTCCTCCCAACCCTTCCTCTTCAACTACGACACCTCCTCCTTTGTCTCAGTTGAAGCCGCGAGCACTACCTCTTTCTTAGCCCTCCCCTCATCCACTTGCTTGGTTGAAGTCTTTGACTTCTTCCTTGGCTTCTTGAGGATAGCCACTTCTCCAGCAGTGTTCAAAAATTGATCCATTTCAGCTGCAAAGCAAGAACAGACAATGTTAATCACAGTTTTATACTCTACATTCAGTACTACAATGCAGAACTAAACCAACCTTCACTTAAAGCACTTGGCCCATAGAGCTCAGCCGCTTCTATGCATTGTGCACTGGTGAGGTCCATAATGTTTAGTAAATCCCCTCCCTTCCTCACCAGCTTCCTCACTTCTTCCTCCTTGTCTTCATTTAAATTAAACCTATTCTGGTTGGCTTTTTTAGCCTTCCAGGATGCTAACTCCCTCACCTCAGCATCCCCCCTCTCCCACTCCATATCATCTACAAAAAAGAATTTTTCCTTCCACCCTTTAATGGATGAAGGACCTGCAGTAAACAAAGACCTACTCTCTTTATTAGCTACCCTAGGGGTGAAATAATACAACCCTTTATCCCTCCTACTACCCCCCTTTAAAACAAAAAAATACTTAAACATATTTACGGTTGGCACATTAATCCCCTAAGCTCGGCAATAGACTAAAAATCCTATTATTACTCTAATAGTGTTGGGGACTAATTGTGTCAACCCTATATTATAATCTAACAACAAACCTACTAGCAACTCAGGAATTGGAAACCTCAATCCCGCTATCAGATAGTGAGAATATATGGGCATCCAATGATCCTGAGGAGCAGAACATGGTCTTTCCTCTACCCCAGCTGGCCTAACTAACACTCGGGAAGAGATCTCGTAATTTTCCACTAAGTGACCCAGGCTATCCCTGGTCCTTAGTTCAAACCTATACTGCTTCACCTCCTCCACTATCTTGGCATTCACATCATAATCTCTCTCGCCTCTACCCTCTACTTCTACTACGGTTATGGGTATACTATCTCCCCCAACCTCTACCACCTCTTCCCCCCCCACCTCTATCACTTCATCTCCTCTCACCCCCTCCACCGTCTTCTCCGAACTAGATGGAGATGGACTACTCTCTGAGTCCATGCTCCCATAGTCTAAGGGCATCACCTCACTCCCTACTATACTCCCTGTTCCTTTTGAGGACATTTTCTCAAACTTTGCACGAAGTAGGGGGGAGGAATAAGTCAGGATCCTTTAAAAAAAAAAAAAAAAAA